GTACTTCAAGTCCTGTGCAAAAACGCACGATCGCACGGGCCCGTCCGGTGCGTTCCAGCCTGGGTTTTATCTTTGCAATGATTCTGTTTCGCGGGGACTCGCGTATTTGTTGAAAACCACCTTATTCGTTTTTTGAAATTCTTGCTTACCACTTACTTCTTTTGTTTAGATCAACAACTAGACGTTTTGGCATCCGAACACTACGCCGAAAATACTCGTCTTCGATGGAACGACGATTCAGGTCCTTAATGAAATGCAGATAAGTCCTGGAAACGATCATATCTATTGTCATTCATGTTCAAGTTTAACAAATCAAATTAATGTAAAATCACCTCTTTTTACGATAAGCATAACACAGTTGCTCAATGGGTAGGACAAAAATGCATTTTGGAAAAGTGATGGTCAAGAGGCGAATGAAATTTTACCGAAATCGCACAGAATTTGTTTTAAACGACATTTACACCAGCAAAAATTAATTAACGGAAGCGAGAACTGAATTCAGCTTAGATGTAGCATTTCTAGGCGATTAGTGCTAGAAATTGAGAAGTGTCAGAATTAAGCAAGTGAGGCACCAAAAACAACGGTAAGCTGCTTTGATAGGGGCTTGTTCAGGTGAAAGGAGGCAATTCGAGCAATGACGCTAAGAAATTTGAATGAATTTCAGTGAAAACCGCATCCAGCAGTGAAGTGCAGTAAAAATAAGATAAGCAATTCACAAACGTTTGTGACTGCGGTGTAGCTGGACTAGCCGTAGTTGTTATCATTACTTTTGGCCCTGCTGCTCCTTGTAGTGACGTCGATGGCGGATTGGGATTGCTGTATGTCAGCCCATCGGGTAACTCATCCCAGTATTTGATCATTCCGGAACCAGTAGCAAACCACACCAAATGGATCTCTCTCCTGCAAAAAAAGTAAGTATAATTAACAGCAGCAAACTTCTTGTCGTAAAAGTCAAAGTCAAAATTTTCTCCATATTCGCTCTACATATGAGAAGGAGGCACTCAGAAAGTAGCCCAAATGATACCAAATGCCAACATTATCCAAGCGCTGGCAAGGTCGCCGATAGCTTTCACTTTTGAGGTTGCTTATAAAGCAAGCTGATGGCAGGGCAGGATTCGACTTCCGAGCACAACACATTAAAAAAAAGAAAACGATTTTATCAGAACTTTACAGAAATCTTCTTGGTGTTTTCGCCGTTCTTTTAGTAAAACTCTCTTGAATGCGTTGGATCGATTTAAAACAAATAAAAAGAACGAAGTGTTGTAAGTGTTGGCGCATTACCAGATGGGTACCAGCAACAAATAATTGCAAATAGGCATAACCGTACAGTGGCCCTACTGGTATGTTTTGTTATTTAGTTCTAGGAACGGGATACTTTTTGCTTTCCTTCCAATTGACATCCCAGAGATTGGTCAAGCCATTCGTGACTTTTATGTCGAACAGCAGATGATCAACGAGTGGCCTTCGGTATTCACATAATTTGGGCAGAACTCCATCGGCACGCATTTGACGCACATATACTTGAAATGCAGCCTCGGCGGACAACTGTGCATCGCTATCGTTCAGTAGACAATAACGCCTGGAAAACAAATTGTTAGCACAGATTGTCCTGTTCAGTTTGTGACCCGAGCAATGAAATACACGGAGGTAAAGAATGTATATTGACTCCCTACTCTTGGGTAGCTTTATCCTGACTAATTTTTGAGAGCTTTCTCTGGCAGCACGAATGAGGGAGCAGTCTATTTATGATTGGAAAGATTAGGTCTGTTACTTTAAAAAAATCTGAATGCATACTGGTCCGACTGCCCCACCAAACACACTTCTGCAAGCCAGACGGTCAAGGCTCGGCACAAGTGGCTCAGGCGCGACAAGCCTGGAAGAGTCGACACTACTGCACTGGCGCCAGATGATCCACCCTGACAGCCCCAATGGATTGGATAACCAATTAGGCGACAAATTACTGACTAAGCCAATCAGTAAAGTGGCAAATTTTTGTTGCATGAAACGAGAACGGCTGTCTTCCTTCTTTTTCAAAAAGCAACTTTCCCATTTTTTAAATTAAAAGTGCTTTAAAAAATATTGTAAGTTGGCCGCTGTTTTTTCATGATCACACTTTGTTTAAGAAATAGAAAAAAAGGTTGTCTGTCATTAAGTTACCACAGTCGCTCGGTAGTTCTGAAAACGCTTCACTTTACAAATCCTGGCTACTGTGCTGCAGTTCATCCATCAGCAATAGCAGCAATGGATTATCGGAGCAGTTCAAAAACAGTTCTCGATAATGTGAGCCTTGACAGATAATGCTAATTTAACATTCAATATAAAAAAAAGTTAAATTTTATTTCCTGACAAGTAACCTGGTTTCGTTTGACTTGTTCAGAAATAAGTGAAGATATCGCGTCACCGGAACGCCCCGAGCACAAATTAATAAGCCTTTTTAATAAAACACCATCAAGGCTTTTTTATCCTCCCAAATGAAGTAACGAAATGGAGTGCGGCTGCATCCTAGTTTTCAAAAAATGTTGCTGTAGAGCTGAGAAGTGAAAAAGAGACCATTCGGGATGTATGAGCCAGTTTGGGGTGTCGTACCAGAGCAGCTTCACATCTCCGTAACTCATCGCTTTGCGTGGCTTTATTCGTTTTTCATCACCTTTCGCTACGGCAATGCCGATGCTGCAAATAAAATAACTCGGTCTGGTTATTAGTGATAAACAACTCTTCGGAAAAATGAAAAGGGAAAGAAAGGAGGTGGTAACCAAGACCGCCAGCAAGCACAACATCACTGATGCAGGTTTCTAAACAGCCACTACAAAAAGTTGATCAAAGTAACAAAACAATTATCAAAATATCATACGTGAAAAGGGATTCCTTCAGGCACTCCGAGTAGTAAGTGTTCGACTGGCGATAAACACGCTCCTGCAACCAGTAGAAAGCGAATAAATGGAGAAAACGCGCAAACAGTAAAATATGTAGCTGCGAGATTTGAAGCAATAATTAATCACGGAAGGGCAGAAACGAGCAAATGCGTGAAAAGTTAAAGCGAACGATCGGCTAGCTAGAGCCAATAATCCGAAGAAGCAAGCACGCATATTTACCAGGTTGGTAGTTGCAAAGAGTACATCCAGCGAATGTGCATCCGCATTATCGCAATTAATCATCGAACTGCGCATCTAAAAATTTACACACTTTTTTTGTATAGCTTCAGCGCGAGCATGACAGGACAAAAGGAGAGTGTTTAATGCCTGGATGTACAGTCTTAAGTCAATTTTCAGCTTTTACAAGTGACACAGTCTTGAAAGTGATGTATGGGAAGGAGCGCAGAATGACGCAGACAGCACCGCAAAATAAAAATCAAAGCACATGACGTTTTTCAAACCGGCCACAGTTTCATAATTTATTAAAATCTTAAGATCTGACAAATTTTTATGTAAAGATCCCTACGATCGATGCATTTTAGTGGCAGAAGAGCAGCTCCTATAACGAAATATTTGAAACATTTTCCAGCCGCCCA